CTCGGAATCTCGGAATCTTAGAATCTCGGAATCACAGAATCTCAGAATCACAGAATCTCAGAGGCTCAGAATCTCAGAATCTCAGAATCTCAGAACCTCAGAATCTCAGAATCTCAGAATCTCAGAATTTGCAGAATTTCAGAATCTCAGAATCTCAGAATCTCAGAATCTCAGAATCTCAGAATCTCAGAATCTCAGAATCTCAGAATCTCAGAATCTCAGAATCTCAGAATCTCAGAATCTCAGAATCTCAGAATCTCAGAATCTCAGAATCTCAGAATCTCAGAATCTCAGAATCTCAGAATCTCAGAATCTCAGAATCTCAGAATCTCAGAATCTCAGAATCTCAGAATCTCAGAATCTCAGAATCTCAGAATCTCAGAATCTCAGAATCTCAGAATCTCAGAATCTCAGAATCTCAGAATCTCAGAATCTCAGAATCTCAGAATCTCAGAATCTCAGAATCTCAGAATCTCAGAATCTCAGAATCTCAGAATCTCAGAGGCTCAGAATCTTAGAATCTCAGAATCTCAGAGGCTCAGAATCTCAGAATCTCAGAATCTCAGAATCTCAGAATCTTAGAATCTCAGAATCTCAAAATCTCAGAACCTCAGAACTTCAGAATCTCAGAATCTCAGAATCGCAGAATCTCAGAATCTCAGAATCTCAGAATCCCAGAATCTCAGAATCTCAGAATATCAGAATCTCAGAATCTCAGAATCTCAGAATCTTAGAATCTCAGAATCTCAGAATCTCAGAATCGCAGAATCTCAGAATCTCAGAATCCCAGAATCTCAGAATCTCAGAATCTCAGAATCTCAGAATCTCAGAATCTCAGAATCTCAGAATCTCAGAATCTTAGAATCTCAGAATCTCAGAATCTCAGAATCTCAGAATATCAGAATCTCAGAATCTCAGAATCTCAGAATCTTAGAATCTCAGAATCTCAGAATCTCAGAATCTTAGAATCTCAGAATCTCAGAATCTCAGAATCTTAGAATCTCAGAATCTCAGAATCTCAGAATCCCAGAATCTCAGAATCTCAGAATCTCAGAATCTCAGAATCCCAGAATCTCAGAATCTCAGAATCTCAGAATCTCAGAATCTCAGAATCTCAGAATCTCAGAATCTCTGAGTCTCTGAATCTCAGAATCACAGGATTTCAGAAATTCAGAATTTTTGAAAATTATAACTTCCGAGAAACTCAGAAGGTCAGAAATCCAGAATCCCAAGGTGCAAAAATTTTGAAGTTTTGAAATTGCGAAGAAAAACATTTTAATCCAAAAAAAATCCTCCTCCTCCTCCTCGTCTACTTTTCCTCCTCTCCAATCATCATCTGAATGAATGAAAAAAACGATTTGAATGAAAAAAGGAAGGAGAAGAAAACAAGTTTAGACCCTCTAACCAATCCACGTAGATTAACGCACACACTCATTTCTGTTGGCTTAGTAATCGAGCGAAAAGAAGAAAAAAGAAAAAAGAAGAAGAAGAAACAGTAACCAATTTTCGGATTAGAATCGAACGAAGACGAAAAAAATGCAAAGGAAACGGATTTGGAGGAAAAAGAAACTCGTTTTTTATAGACATGGATTATGTGGAAAATGGTTTTTTGGGATTTTCAAAGTTTTGGGAATTGACGAATTCGAAGGAAATGGGAATTCTGAAAAATGAGGGATTCTAAGAT